AAACAACAACAGGAATCATGAGATCGTATTAAATTATACGTTACACTTTTCATGTTTGTCTCATTCATCTCGTGTGTGTGTGTGTGTGTGTGTGCAGTCAGTTCATTTTTAACTATGGTGACCTTTTCAATGATACTCTTTGTAATCCTCAGACAGAAACAGGTGTTCAAAAGGATTCACACCACATGTGTGTGTGTGTGTGTGTGTGTGTGTGTGTGTGTGTGTGTGTGTGTACGCTGCACCTCCTCCCTTCAGCTCCATGTAAAGCAGGTGTTTTCCTTCGTCTGTACCTCTGAGCGTTTCACACGGACCTGAACCCAGACCTTCTAGTCCAGACCTTCTAGTCCGTCTCAGTTCTTAATCACTGCCAAAGACTCGCCTGTAAATTCCAAACAGTTGCAGGACTTTTTCAGTCGAAGGTTTGAATCGATTCGTGCAGGCAGAGGACCAGGATCCAGGACCCTGTTGACCCAGATCAGAGTCTGGCAGTCTGTCTGAGATGTTGTATAAAGCTCCTGTAAGATATTTTATTGAGTTTTTTTTTCATTGAAATGCTTTGAATGACAGATTTTTCTCTAGTATATAAGTCTGGAGCTTTTATTGTGAAAGGTAAGAACAGAAGGAAAGGGATATGAAAGTTCTCCCTCTTGGTTTTGGAGTCCGGTACACTTGAAGTGATTGTTTGATGCCAACGTAGATCTTTTTGCTGCCTAACATTCGCTGCTGGTGTAAACTTTCTGATGACAGAAACAACACTTCTTTCAGCTGCTCTGTGCTGCTGTTCAGGTGTTTGAGGTGAAGGACAAGTGTGCTCTGTCTTTAAGGTGTTGATGGTTTCATCAGAGCTGGTTCGGTTGGAGCCGGACAGTCGTGTGTTTCTCAGGGTTGTGTTGGTGAGTTCAAGTTGTTTCAGGTCATGGTGCGTTTGAGGTTCATCAGACACCAAAACAACACAACACTGTTATAACTGTCTCCTAAGCAGGTTTCATGTTATAAAATTGATATCACGATTCCTCCTGTTTGATCAGTGACCTCGTAGTGGACGTCACCCATTGGTTAGTGGACTGCCGTTGTGGGTTTTTTCATCCGATGAACAGAAGTGACCATCTCTGGTAGAGACGTATACGCCCCGCCCTAAAGCATCCCCTGCTTTATGGTCTGTTTGACTCTAAA